AAGAAGCGATAACGAGTGTGCCAAACTAACAGTATAACGACTGGAGACAACGAGACACACTTAAGGAAAGATCTAAAATGATTTTACCTCTAAGTTCCCTGTACTTTTATTTCTCACATGTTTTTAGAAGAAAAATCTCTGCTTTTTATCACGGGAATAAGATAAGATGATTGCCTGGATAGCATCAATTTTGCAATTGGTTACCAATTTGCCACACTTACCGTGCGACTTCTATCACTGTTTACTATGAGGATATCAGGTCAATCGACTGCTCAGCCTACTGCCTCTACAATTTCGCGTGAAATTTCGAACAGCAGAACTAGTTGACAAACCGCACAGATCTAAACACCTCTGCACAGGAAGAGTGTGCGAAGCCAAAGCCAATTCAGCGCCGACCGGAACTTCATCGTTTTCATACAAATTTCTGATCAAATTCCTGTAAAATATGCGATGCTGCGATGTTAACGCACCAATCTGGTCCGAGTAATTTTTGCTCACTTCCTGCAATTGTAGTATTCGATATAACAGGTCTGGATAAAAATGAAAAAAGGCGATGAAAAGATGCTGGTTAATATACATTTGGAATGTCACAAATTATACAGAGATCTGCAAATACGACACGAAATAGGCGAAAAATTCCATTTATGAATGTCACATAAGATGAGTGCAAAAAATTTTAAGTAACCGATAGAAAAGTCCCTTCTTAATCATGGCACAAACTGTCATCAAAACATGTACGCTTCCAAAAAGAACTAAGCATTCAAGTACATGCGAAACTTCTGGATAAAACCCTCTACCCATCTACCCATACTAATGCAAACGATTTTCCATCCTCAGAAAGAATTTAGCTTTAGAAAGAGAAACTCATTTTCTATTTTAAATGCTAAATGTAATCAAAGTTTGACGGTAAAAACCGATCGAGACTGATGCAACTCAGCAGCGCTCCACAATCCAGGGCACTTAAGAACATGTAACGTCTTACTCGTATTCGTTCATTCAAGCGGCTCAAATGCTGTCCACTTTGCGGAAGTGCCTGACCGTTATCACTGGCGCTGGCACTCACAGCCTGCTCACACTCACGATACATCCTGTCCAGTTCGAAGTCACGTGCACGTATAAGAGATAACATCTGCAAGAATCACCCTCAAAATGGGAAAATTACAATCCGCTAACTCATCACTCATCGTGAGATGTTCAATTTTAATTAGCAATTTTTGTCTCAAATACCCACACAATCAAAAAGCCTGGTTTTTCGACAAAGCAAGTTCTAGACAGTTGCGGAGCATTTGCTGAAAATTGTTAGAAAATCGAAAAAAAAAAAAAGAACGATACTGTTTATTAAAATTAAAACAATAAACAGGTACTTATCCGGTAAGGTGCCGAACATGTCTACAAATAGTAACAATGAAGACGATGCCTAACAAATTCCAGTAAAATTTTGGGACGATTAAAGTCTAGAAGTGATTCTGATCGGACAATCGTTCAGCTGGCTCTCTTCCTTTTTAACAATCCCTTCAGGAGGTGGTGG